TTAAAGAACCGTTGTAGAGACATTATGAATTTTGAAGTAGGGAACTTTTAGAAATTTTGAGCAGCCTTTTAAAGAACCGTTGTAGAGACATTATGAATTTTCAAGTAGGGAACTTTTAGAAATTTTGAACAACTTTTTAAAGAACCGTTGTAGAGACATTATGAATTTTGAAGTAGGGAACTGTTAGAAATTTTGAATAACTTATTAAAGAACCGTTGTAGAGACATTATGAATTTTGAAGTAGGGAACTTTTAGAAATTTTGAGCAACATTTTAAAGAACCGTTCTAGAGACATTATGAATTTTGAAGTAGGGTAACTTTTAGAAATTTTGAACAATTTTTTTAAAGAACCGTTTGTAGAGACATTATGAATTTTGAAGTAGGGAACTTTTAGAAATTTTGAACAACTTTTTAAAGAACCGTTGTAGAGACATTATGAATTTTGAAGTAGGGAACTTTTAGAAATTTTGAACAACTTTTTAAAGAACCGTTGTAGAGACATTATGAATTTTGAAATAGGGAACTTTTAGAAATTTTGAGCAGCCTTTTAAAGAACCGTTGTAGAGACATTATGAATTTTGAAGTAGGGAACTTTTAGAAATTTTGAGCAGCCTTTTCAAGAACCGTTGTAGAGACATTATGAATTTTGAAGTAGGGAACTGTTGGAAATTTTGAACAACTTTTTAAAGAACCGTTGTAAAGACATGATGAATTTTGAAGTAGGGAACTTTTAGAAATCTTGAGCAACCTTTTAAAGAACCGTTGTAGAGACATTATGAATTTTGAAGTAGGGAACTTTTAGAAATTTTGAACAACTTTTTAAAGAACCGTTGTAGAGACATTATGAATTTTGAAGTAGGGAACTTTTAGAAATTTTGAGCAACATTTTAAAGAACCGTTGTAGAGACATTATGAATTTTGAAGTAGGGAACTGTTAGAAATTTTGAGCAACCTTTTAAAGAACCGTTATAGAGACATTATGAATTTTGAAGTAGGGAACTTTTAGAAATTTTGAACAGCTTTTTAAAGAACCGTTGTAGAGACATTATGAATTTTGAAGTAGGGAACTGTTAGAAATTTTGAATAATTTATTAAAGAACCGTTGTAGAGACATTATGAATTTTGAAGTAGGGAACTTTTAGAAATTTTGAGCAACATTTTAAAGAACCGTTGTAGAGATATTATGAATTTTGAAGTAGGGAACTTTTAGAAATTTTGAACAATTTTTTAAAGAACCGTTGTAGAGACATTATGAATTTTGAAGTAGGGAACTTTTAGAAATTTTGAACAACTTTTTAAAGAACCATTGTAGAGACATTATGAATTTTGAAGTAGGGAACTTTTAGAAATTTTGAACAACTTTTTAAAGAACCGTTGTAGAGACATTATGAATTTTGAAATAGGGAACTTTTAGAAATTTTGAATAACTTATTAAAGAACCGTTGTAGAGACATTATGAATTTTGAAGTAGGGAACTGTTAGAAATTTTGAACAACTTTTTAAAGAACCGTTGTAGAGACATTATGAATTTTGAAGTAGGGAACTTTTAGAAATTTTGAACAACTTTTTAAAGAACAGTTGTAGAGACATTATGAATTTTGAAGTAGGGAACTCAAAAAGTGAGCAACCTTCTCATCGGCTCTCGAATACGCGCAGAGTGTGCTACCGTTACACCACGAAGGCATGCAGAAAGAAAGGAGAAAATACGTTATATACTCCCCTTTTGAAAGGGCGACTGGGGAATGGGAGACTCAATCGCCAAATCCTGGTGACGAAGAATCATGATCAACCACCTTTTAGTTCGGGTGTGCCACTGTAGAATCAGTAGGATTTTTGAAGTAAGAAACACGAAGAGTGAGCAATGCCCTCGTCAGGGCTCGAACCTGGACCTCTCGAAATATGCGCCGAGTATACTACCGCAAAGGCATGAAGGAGAAAATACTACGGCACAAATATCTGTGGAATATCTACGCATACATAACTGTATAGAATGTATAGAAGTATACATATCTATATACAATTCTATATATAATATAGAATAATTCTACATTCTATATACAATATATAGAATGTTTCTACGCATACATTACTGTATAGAATGTATAGATCTGATACATAACTGTATAGAAGCTGTACCTAATGTTTTACAGAATTCTAAAGACGTAGTTGACAATAAAATTTGGCTATAATTCTAAAGAATTCTTAAAGATGTTTAACACTCGATTTTTTTTAATACAATTCTATAAGACATTTTCATAAGAGGAAGCTTTCAGACCTATATCTATCCGACGTTGGAATACGAAAGTTCTTTTTCAGAAAAGTGGTTAAGCATTCTTACTTTGCAAAATGTATGTAAGATGTCTTTAAATGTCCGTAAAAATAGCCATGGCTAAATCGGGAACTAGATAAATTCTGTGAAACAGTACACTGTAACTGTGACTATTCCTTTACGTCATACCTATGACATCACTTTCAACGTCACTACCTCGTTGCTTCTACAACACGCCTTCAATGAAAACAAAACAAAACTTTTAGATAATGAAGTAATTGCAATCGTTAGATGTATCGGCGCAGTTAAATGGGGACATTACTTGTAATTTCGGGAACCTCATTATTCCAAGCAAATTACTATAATCACTGGAAACTCAATTTGTAGCAACGGTGAATCTGGATCCAAAGTTTGGATTGGTCAAGCTTAATGATAATAATTCATTTAGGGTACTTTTGCTGGAAGGTAATTGCAGTAAGATGCAGAGTGAAATTTGACATAAAGATAATTACAGCAAGTGTTCCCATTTCTATACCCACTGGACACATGTATTAATAATTGCAATCAAAGAGCCAATAAGAAAACTGCTTTTACGTAATGCTATTTAGATGCATTTGAAATATTAGACCAGGTATCAATCTAAATGTAATGGTTTTCCATTTTCTATAACAACTGCGTAATACTAACTGCTGTTATCAAGAGGAAACATATTTTTTCCATTAGCTGAGATGTTAAAAAAGCGCAATTTTTTTCTTTGTTCGTGTTTTTATACTTCCTTGTACGAAGTAAAAAGGAAGTATTGTAATCGCGAAAAGCTTCAGGCAGCATATTTCAACGAAAATATCCACTTTGACCGCTTTCGAATGCAATTTAACGATATTTTTGCGTGATATCTGTACGTAAGGACAGAATAAAAGACTCTTTTCCTCCAAAAAAACTTAAAAACTGCTTTAAAATGAATTCTGAAGAGAATTTTTTGTGGCGTCTGTGCGAACGTATGTACGTACGTGCGTACGTACGTATCTCGCGTAACTCAAAAACGAGTAGCCTCAGAACGTTGAAATTTTCTATATAAGACTACTATAACATGCAGATGGTGCACCTGGTATTTTGATTTCAATCGGCCGCGCCAAACGTATATAAATATATTCATAAATATATCCACTCTGTTACCCGGCTCAGTAATCTCAGTTTCTTTACTCTTATATGTTTGTAAATTGTACCTTTTTTGCTTTAAAAATGATTGAATTGTGTTGTTGTTATCTTCCGGTTAAGGGTTTTATGCCTTTAATAAATCTGTATGTAATATTTTTAGAATTATCAACAATTTTAAAATTGTTTAAGTACCGCTAAGCCTAATTTGATGGTGGCCATTAATGTTTACATTTGAAACAGGAGACTAGTGGATTTGTTGCCAATCTAGAGAAACTTAGCTTCGCAACAACAAAAATAACGCATTAATTTATTATTGCCAATTAAATCATGCTTAATCCTTTCTGGAATTTTTTCGAGGAAATAAGCGTTTAAGATTTACTTCGTAATTTTTAATACAGATATTGAGATTTTATGTATTTTTGCCTTGTCGCGAAGTGAGAACTGAATTAATTGAATGAGAAATACTCAATCGTCTGTGAAAAACTGTTCCTTTTTTGTTTTGTTTGCTTAATTTCTTTTATACATCGTTCTAGCTTTATTATAGTATTTGAATAGAACATGTGGCAACGATTAGATAATTCTTCAAATGATATAAATTTTGTGCATTCAGAGTTATAGTATGAACGAAATATAATACTGTTAAGTAAACCTAGCTCCAGAGTGTCGCTATGGTAAACAAAGTGAATTTTAAAGAATGCATTTATTCTATTGTTGTTTATGCGCTGTCGGCGAAGTAGGTTTAATTCAATGTAATAAGTTTAAATAAAATGCAAGAAAAAATGCGTGTAATTTAATATTCCCTACAAGGAAATCATGTGGTGTACACATGGGATATTTTTAAATTTATTAAGGGCTCTACCATTAGGCTTATACGAAAGGGAGGAATGCCCCGGGGTCATTTTAATGCAAACTCTCTCGTATGCATATTTACACAGAAAAACATTAAATCGCCCATGCAGAAAGCCCATTCTCCAAAACTCAACCTCGGACCGAACTACCAATTTTTGCGGCTTTTACCGCTTTGCCGCTGCTGAGCCCGTTTGTTAATATTGCATATTTTAATCTTATTCATATTTATTTTGTAGCATAAAACGCAATCTTAAATACATTTGGTACGTAAAAAAGTATTTTGATATTCCCTAAACTTTTCGCTTTTCTGTAAGTTTTAGGTTTAATTTTAACCGAAAGCCATAGTAAATTGTAATTTGTAGATACTTTTAGGGTTTCAAAGCAAGAAACGGGAAAAATCCATTGTGACGTCTCTGGTATTCAAACTAAACACTTTGATATTGTTAGCCGATTCTGCTAACTGTTTACACCATGAGAGCACACAGGAGGAAATGCGATAATTTCTTACATTCTCTCCATATAAAGATAGACTGGAAAGAAATACGAGACCTATCGAAGAAATACAAGTGGTAAAGAAGTGTCGTCTTAATTTTAATTCGCGACCGAATTAAGATTTGGACTTTTTAATTTTTCTTAGTTTGGTCGTATCTACAAATGCACTCTAGCGTTTCTCAAAGCTTGAAATATGAAACATATTCTGTCCTCTCGCCACTTTGAATTACTGAGCTTATAACAGTTCCACCGAAACTTCCTGAATAGTTTCCTGAATACTCTCGTGAATATTTCTATGAAAACACCCATGAATATTTCCACGAATTCCATGAATAGTTTCATGATTACTCTCATGAATATTTCCGTGAATACACCCATGAATATTTCCACGAATATTTCCATGAATAGTTTCTTGAATACTCTCCTGGATATTTCCATGAATACACCCATGAATATTTTCATGTATAGTTTCTTGAATACTCTCGTGAATATTTCCATGAATATTTCCATGAATACAGCCATGAATATTTCCATGAATAGTTTCTTGAGTACTCTCGTGAATATCTCTATGAATAGATTTTTGAATACTCTCGTGAATATTTCCATAAATAGTTTCATGAATACACCCATAAATATTTCCATGAATAGTTTCTTTAATACTCTCGTGAATATTTCTGTGAATAGATTCTTGAATACTCTCGTGAATACTTCCATGAATACACCCATGAATATTTCCATGAATAGTTTCTTGAATGATTCCACGAACACTTCCACTATTACTTCCATGAACACTTCCAGAAATAGTTTCACAAAAAGATCCACAAGTAGTTCCATAAATACTTCCAGGAATTAACTCCACGAATAGGTCCATGCATACTTACATGCATACTTCCGCTAATAATTACACAAATAGCTCCCAATTAATTCCATGAATAATTCCAGGAATAGAAGAAGTTTCTTCTACTAGTTTTAAGTTGATAACTCTCATATTTTGCAGAATCGTTAATAGAATTGAAAATGCTATAAAACTGTGTAAATATTTAGATTCTATTAATGACGCCTACAGAGGGTGTTCGCCCATTTTTCAGACGATTTTCATTGTAATTACAGAAATATTTTATGTTTTAAATATTCTGTTTGAAACCCTTATTCTTCGCTATGTTTATACACAACAAAGCCTTTCATAGTGTCAGAAAAAGTATATTATCTCATCATTCTCGAATAGCTTTCCAAAAGTTGTAGGTGGACGAATGGAAGTTTGTAGGTGAACGTACAAGAAAACCTCTTTTAAAAGTTAAAAAAGCGCAGAAATACCTCCGTGATTGATCAGGAGACATGAGTGAAGGATTTGGCTTTCATATCCATTTTTTGTTTCATTCTTTTCAGGAAATTAATGGTAGATTTTAAGGTTTCGCTGCTTGCTTTGTTTTGATGCAGTTCTACTGATCGAGCCTCCTGTGTGTAATGAGAATGTACTTCATATATTTAAATTGGGTATAAAATATTTTTCTGATAATATGTGGAGTTGATTTTAACATTTTTCTTCCCTCTCTTTATCTTTAATTTGGTATTTTATAAGAAACCAACAACAATCATAAATCCTTTAGAAAAACTTTCTTTGGATTCTTTGAACTATGTTTCAAGATTTTCTTTCTTCTTTTTGATGATCATAAATGGATCTCATTTTATTGCAGTCACTTAATACACTCAAGATTCTATTGTGACAACATTTCTCCATTTTTGTCCGGATAAATGTTTTTCATAAAGAATTCTCCAGCGCATTCTGCGTTTAGTGATATATCGTGGAGAAAGACGATGCCCATTATGCTTTTTCGCCTTTTTTAAGATTCAAATCAGCATTAACCATTTTGCTTACAAGTTAACACTCAGCATTGTAATGATTTTGCAACTCCCCTTTCACTTCTTTTAATATTTAAGATCTTACCTTTGCAACATTCAAAACATTTCGTGTTTTCCTTCTATATGTATTTGGAACAATTTTTCCACTTGAAACTTTTTTTCCCTTGCCATTGACAACTATCGTAGCCTCAGATATGGAAAAATTCTTTGACAATGTTTTTTACTAACTACGTAAGAATAATTTTCTTCGGAAAGAACACAAACTTAGCCTTCCATCCATTGCTTCTTTAAAAGCAACATTTTGCATGAAAACGAAACTGTCAAGTAGCAGACGATAATTTATATTTTCAAAAATATAGTTGCAGTTAACAAAAATTCCGAGTAGACTTTTTCTACTTTCTACAGCAAAGCAAAATTATCTAACAAGTGTATGAACAACGTCTGTATTCCATTAATGACGTGCATGATGCTTATAATTCATTTTTATAACTCTTATAACGCTCAAAAATAAGTTGTCGAATATCTGCTTTTCGGACGATAACGTATGTCGTTTATAACGCACAGACCGTTGATAATAGAGCCTCTTTTGCGACGAAATACTCTTCAAATCACTTTTCAAATGACGCGTAGACGCTTCGAATATTGTAGAAGCTAAATATTGTACTGTCAAATATTTACTTTTCGAATGTTAACGTCTATAGCTTATTTATAACACTTATAGCTGAATTTCATTATGCTTATATATCTAGATAAATAGATATCTTATTTGAAAACCATCTGATATGACTTTAAAGTCTGAATCTGTTCAGAATTTTCTTCTTTTGTTTTCTTATACGTATTATGCAAAATTCCCCCAAATTTTATTTTTAAATTCAGTGTACGAGCACAGCTGTGACGCACAAAGTTTTCCTTTGTCCATTTAAAATCACTTTTGCCTTTATTTCGATTAAATTTCTTTAAAATTATTCATTTCTTTACGCAGTATTAGACTAATTGAAGAATTTATGATATTTTGAGTTCTGCCAAAATTTAGGTGAAGAATCGTGTTTTCTTTTAGCTCTGTTTCCTTGCCGCAGAGTCAAAGCAAAAGAATGAAGAGACAAAAATGGGAAATTTTTTCGCATCTAAAATAATAACTTCTAAATTAGATTCATTAAACTGCATTAATTTTTTATCACGCGAAATAAGACTGCAAAATTGTTTGAAAATACACTTTTAAATTTCGAACTAAAATTTAACATTATCTCTTAAATAGTGCTAAAATATCCTGTACCAGTTTTCCAAACGCTTGCAATAACTTTAACTCAATTTATTTTTCTTCAGACTTTTTCTGGTTAATATTACATTCATAAATTTTATTAATATATAAATTCTACACAAATAGATTCCATGGAGCATTACAAGCGAACAAGAAAATCCGAAATAATATATTTATCATCAATTACTCATTATACAAATCCAGAAAGAAAGAAGATGGCAATTTATTCAGATAATAAACATAATAAATTTAATATTAATCGCATAAAAGAAAAAAGATTGAAAAAACAAAAGCATTATTTTTCCGTTCTTATGTTTTGGAATAAAATCACATAAAATGCAGTTTTCTCTCATGAAAAACAATAGTTTTAGTTTAAAATCAACTATCTGTATAAAATATATTAATCATTCCTTTAAAAATAAGAATGAATATTTCATCAAAGAACGAAATTATTAAAGATTTTTTATAAAGCGTTATTATATCAAAGAGGAAAATTCTTACATCGCACAGTTAAATTAATCGCATTTTCATATACGAAACTTAAATACAAAATACAAAGCTTTTGAATTAAATTCTTTTTTTTGGTAGAAATTTAGTAGCTATGTTTCGTAAATTATATCAATTTACTGAAAATATGATATAACTTTCAAGGGAAATTAAATTGCTATCGCGGAAATAGCTTTAATCTTCTTCGAAATGATTTGCTTTGAAATTTTCTTTTTTTGTTAGTTGCAAATTCATATCACTTAATTTAATTGCCAACAGAAGTTTTATATCAAAATACAACCGATCGAAGTAATTAATGCTTCTTTGCAAGTGTAGTTTTATTTGATAACTAAAAAAAAAAATCTGAATGTCCAAAAGGGTGTTTTTTAACGTTTCATGTGTTACCTTTATTTATTAAAAATCATCTTCTTCGCACTTAAACCATAATATTCAGTTCAAAAGTAATATCGCAAAATAATTTTAAAATGAGCATATCTTTAGAATTTTCCATACACAAAAATGTTTTTTTTTAATACAGTGTTGCTATTGCTCGTTTTGAAATAGTTGAGTTTTTTAATCAAGAATTCGTTAAAGTTTTACAAAGTATGAAATGGATAATAAAACAAATTCCAAATTCGGGCTTTCAGATGCCCATATTCGTCTGAAAACGTACGTTATTCAAAATTGAATGGCTCTAAGTACCGTTCTTTTATCACAATGCGAGAAGCATAGATACATTTATGTAGATTCTTCATTATTTAATTTCTTTATATATAAAACAGGGCTGTAATATTTGGTGGAAACAGTTTGAAAAGTGAACCGACATTTATTGTGAACCAACGCAAAATGCCAAAGCGAAATTAATAGCCCTTCTGGGCTAACGCCCTTTGGCTTGTAGGGTTTATATTTATTTTAACTAACATTTATTTTAAGTTTAAACTACCTTTCCTGTCAAGCCTTACTTTTCCCTGGAACTGCCAATGCCAGAGTATGTAAATTTTAGTAGAACGCGCAAGGATTCAAATTATCAGCGGAAGTATTCTGAGTTAAATAGAAAGGAAACGAGTTCGAGGTGTGCTGTTCTTACTTCACGAGCGCGGAGGTAGTTAGCCAGAAATTGAAGAACCCCGCGTTTCGGCCTGTGTGCTTGCCTGGAAGTATTGTTAATCGTTCAACGTGATCTTCAAGTTTCCTGAATTAGCAGCGGTATTGTAAAACGCGGTGACGTTAGTTACTTTTAGAGAGCCTCGTAGTTAGAGTCTTGTCTTTAGTTTCTTTTCAGGTTTTTTTTTTTTTTTTTTTTTGCTTAATTTCTGTTATACATCGTTCTAGCTTTATTGTAGTATTTGAATAGAACATGTGGCAACCATTAGATAATTCTTTAAATGATATAAATTTTGTGCATTCTGAGTTATAATATGAACGAAATTTAATACTGTTAAGTGAACCTAGAGCCAGAGTGTCGCTATGGTAAACAAGTACAGTGAATTTTAAAGAATGCATTTATTCTATTGTGGTTTATGCGCTGTCGGCGAGTAGATTTAATTCAATCCAATAAGTTTAAATGAAATGCAAGAAAAAATGCGTATAATTTAATATTCCGTACAAGGAAGTCATGTGGTGTACACATCAGGTTTTTAGATTCAGTATACGAATACAGCTGTCACGCAAAAAGTTTTCCTTTGTCCATTTAAAATCACTTTTGCCTTTATTTCGATTAAATTTCTTTAAAATTATTAATTTCTTTACACAGTGTTAAACTGATTGAAGAATTTATGATATTTTGAGTTCTGCCAAAATTTAGGTAAAGAATCGGGTTTTCTTTTAGCATTGTTTCCTTGCCGCAGAGTCAAAGCAAAAGAATGAGGAGACAAAAATGGGAAATTTTTTCGAATCTAAAATAATAACTTCTAAATTAGATTCATTAAATTGCATTAATTTTTTATCATGCGAAATAAGACTGCAAAATTGTTTGAAAATACACTTTTAAATTTCGAACTAAAATTTAACATTATCTCTTAAACAATGCTAAAATATCCTCTACCAGTTTTCCAAACGCTTGCCATAACTTTAATTCAATTTATTTTCTTCTATCTGAAGAAAAATCCACTTTTTCTGGTTAATATTACATTCATAAATTTTATTAATATATAAATTTTACACAAATAGATTCCATGGAGCATTACAAACGAACAAGAAAATCCTAAATAATATATTTATCATTAATTACTCAATCCAGAGGAAAAAAGATAGCAATTTATTCAGAT